TTTCTCATTCCATAAACACCCCCCCCCCCCCCCCCCCCCTTCAATCATTACAAAGGCTGATATATTAGGATAGGAATTAAAAATATATTTGCCTTCCAACCTGGATTTCCCCCTTGTGGCATTTAGGTGAGGGTGATGTCATAGGCCTTCCGCTGAGATCCTGAGAAAGCTGAGGATCCCAAATCTCACAGGAAGATGCTTCAGCTTTTTGTGGAGTTTGGGATACATAACCTTCCTTGGATCTGATTGGATGTCCCATGCCTTTACCCTCACCTAGGCCCTGTGGGTGGTATCTGGCAGTGGCGTCCCTCCGCAACTGCTGGGTGCTGGAGGTGCACGTTACAGGGTTGAGGGTTTGGGTCGTAGTGTTGGTGGTGCACATTACCAGGCCGGGGGTGGTGCACGGTACATCTGCCCGACGTCCTGCCCCGATCACTGGCGTCACTGGTTGCCATGAGCTGGGTGGGACACGGCCCAGAACATTACAGGTTGCCAACAGCTCTTAGCAACTTCGGACGCTCTGGTCAGAAAAGGGGTGGCACAACTGCCACCTTCCCATGTGAGCCAATGGGATGCCACCTGAGGCAACCACCTCAGGCTGCGTCATTGTAGGGACGGCTCTGGTATCTGGGGTACAAGGTGGGTATAAAAGTTTAACGCTGCACTTTTTTTTCATGAGTGGCAGGGGGGGGTCTAAAGAATTTGATGCAAGGCCGCTTTAACTACAGTGCTCCGTCCTTTGATAATACTATGCACACTCAGGAGCTGGGAGAAGCTGGCAGGGCTGTAGCTGTTCTCAGAAGGTTAAGGTTACTTAGCTATAGGGATCAATAAAGTGATCTTGGGAATTATTTTTCATATTTGTTGTGACATTTTCTGTATAGGATGCATAGTACTACCCACATCAGACCCGATCCCTCGGGAGTTCCATACACATGCAGGCACACACACACACACACACACACACACACACACACACCAGGTGGGCTTTTATTAGGGGCAATATGGCCATCCAGAATTTTTTTGGGGAATGTGGAATGACACCCGGAAAAACCACAGTGCATAGAAAGGGTACAAACTCCATGCAGATGGGTCCCCGGGTGGGGGGGAGGGGGGTGATTTAAAGTGCCAGGCCATGTGAAGCCTTGCCAGTAGAACATTTGGGAGGTTTTCGGCATGTTGAAGTATCTCATGTAATCCATCTCTTACACGCAGGGGAAATACGGGAAGTTTAAGAGGTACGTAGCGCACAGCTCCCACGTCACCAATCTTCGCTGGATTCACGATGACAGCCTGCTGGTCAGTGTCGGCGGCCCGGACACCTCGCTCATGCTCTGGACACACGAGGTGGATGGGCACCGGGAGACGAGGCAGTGCGACAGCGAAGAGTCTGACCTGGATTCCGAGGAGGACGGAGGTAAAAGGGGAACGGCAAATCAGCCAATCCGAATTCTAGCAGAGCTGCTTTTGATTGGCTGCTCCTGCTGTTATTGTTTATTGCGGGTTACATTTTTATTTACATCGTTGCAATATGTTTCGCAGAGCTTTGCAGGAAAGAAAAAAAAAGCATAAAATGAATAAGATAATAAAGTATGTAGTACCTAGTAAAAAAAAAAAACCCAGCTCATATAATGAGAAGGACCCTGACCACAAGAGCTGACAGTCTAATGGAAATGAGGGAAGTGAGACATGAGATACAAATGCTTTTTAATGATAGTAATGTGTCATTTTATGTATATTAATTATGGATGAAGCTGAATTCAGTGCAAGACCAGACAGGAGGGGCAGCTTAACTGTGTGAGTTTTTTTGGGGGCTTCTGCAATGGGAGTGTCGGGGGGAAAGGACAGAATGGCTCAAAATCAGTGTGCGTGCCCAGGATGTACACCCCATGTCCTAATGGCACAGTGTTAAAACACTGGTGATGCACGCTAAGGGGGCCTGTGGCTGTGAATATTATGGAAGTAAACGACATAGAATGGGGAGAGAGAAGCAGTTCTGTAGGTGTTAAAGTGACATTAAACCCTCAATACTGTAATGTGCGCCTTACTGTAATCCATGGTAGTTTCCCTTCTCTTTGCTGCTCTTCCTTATAAATCCTCATGTCTTCTCATGCTTGGGGAGAACTTCTGTTTTGCAGCAGACTGCCTTGTCTCTGGAATGGCTACACGGTGTCTGTGTGTAGGCTTGCAACCTGAGCCAGCACTACAGGAAGAGGCAGTCAGCTGCAAAGGGAAGTTCTCCCCCAGCATGAGAAGACATGAGGATTTCAAAGGAAGAGCAGCAAAGAGAGGGGAAACAACCATGGATTACAGTAAGGCGCACATTACAGTATTGTTTTATGTTAAAAAAACTGAGGGTTTAATGTCACTTTAAGCTCTCAGAGCCTAGAAATAGCATCAGCCAGTATAATTCTGAAGTGACCTGAGCAGTTAGGATTGCCCCTGGCATCTGTGGCACCCTAGGCAAATGAGAAATGTGGCCCTGGCCTTGCAGACACAGATGCCTCTTGGTGGTTATTTTGCCCTTGCATATTCAACTCTCCTCTGTCTATGGTCAACTTAATCCTTGTGCTGCAATGGGCCCTATTCCTTATCCTGCAATACTGATAGCCCTAGCGCCAATGTTACTTCTATACCAAGCATTGCGTACTCCAGTGCTGAATATTAAAAAACGACGGCAGCACTGAACAAATGGCAGCACACAGCCGACTGGAGGTCGGGGCCGATGAGATGTGATACGGGCAAGCAGTAACAATGACGACGAGTAAAAGGTGATCAGTTTTGGGTTTGCCAATTACTATGGGGGACTTGAGGTGACCCAGTTTGCTGCAGTCAATCATGAACCCCCCCCCCTAAGGGAGTTGCTTGGACAGTAGATGTGACAATCTCTAATCTCAGGTTATGACAGCGATGTGACGAGAGAGAATGAATTAACCTACACCATCAGAGCCTTATCCACCAACATCCGTCCCACGGCCGGGATCAAACCCCACATGCAGCAGAAGGAGCTGACCTTGGATGAGAGGTAACCACCGCCGGGAGATTTCTATTCAAACTTTTGGTGGCAATTTTATTTCTTTTTTTTTTTTAGTTTGTAAATTTTTGTAAACTGACGTGTAGTTACTATTTTTTGCTACCAAAAGCAATATGCCTATTGGTCCAGGGGTGTCATTGCATTATTTCAGGATAAAGTTCAGTTTTATACAGTCACAGCTTTATCCTATAGCGTCCGAATCCAATGTAAGGATGGAGTGATGATAAAGCTTGTTGGGGGGGCCATTTGTCCTGCAGGCAGAGCCTGCTCATCAGCTGGTGGGACTCACTAATTACTAAGATAGCTCTCTGATTATACTATATGAAGGTCCAATGTTATTGAACAGTGCAGTTATAGATATGAAGAAAAGAGGAAAGGTCTGTATGGCTTTGGGGACTTGTAGCAATGTTTTTACTATGTTATATTCTATGTAATGAAATTATGTTTTTGTCCTTTGAAATTCTCTCCTGTAACGAACAAATGTCATGTGATCACTGTACTCTTTGCCTGCATGCCGAGGTGTAGAGATTGTTAAAGGTGTAACAGAGTATATTGTATGGTGATCAGGCGGCAAACTTTCTAAACTTTGGTAATTGTCTCTGGAAAGTTGCAGAGTCCTAATTAATTCATTAGACGTAGTTAGGACGATGAGTCATACGGGGGAGATGTCACCTCACCTCCACGATGAAGAGCCGATTTCAAACACGTTATTACAAAGTGTCGTCTTCTGATCCTTCCCATTATTTCTAATGGACACCTCCAAATAAAACTCATGATAGATTCCTGTGTGATTGCGGCTTGAATAAAACATCTATCGAAAGAAAGTATCCCCATTATCCACGGTGTCAAATCAGAATATAACCAGACGTGTCAGATATAAGAAAGTGCTACAAAAATATCTATTGAAAATATATAAAAATGCTTCTTTAGGTTCAAATCAATACAAATATAAATCAATACATATACGACTCAATATACAGGTGAAACTGGAATAATTAGAATATCGTGCAAAGTTCATTTATTTCACTAATGCAACTTATGCGGTGAAACTAATATATGAGAGAGACTCATTACATGCAAAGCAAGATAGTTCAAGCCGTGATTTGTCATCATTGTGATGATTATGGCTTACAGCTCATGAAAACCCCAAGAACCCCAAATCCACAACCTCAGAAAAGTAGATTATTACATGCAATCAATAAAACAAGGATTGTACATAGAACAATATCGGGCCTCTGAAAAGTACAAGCATGCATATGTACTCAGTACTTGGTTTGGGCCCCTTTTGCAGCACTTACTGCAATTACTTTTGCACGATATTCTTTTCACATATATATTCGAGAATGCTCCTTATGTAGTACAACAGCAAAAGGTTTCCCAGCACACTCGCCAGCCAGCATGCAAAAAAAAACCAAAAACCTGTCTAACCGCTAAGGTTAAAAACAGAGGTTTTAGATACACGTCTTCTGCAGAATAAGTGAAAGCCGCACTGCCTCGTCAAGGCTCCTCTATATAGTGCGGTCCTAACTCTAAACTAGCGTGTTTCCCCGAAAGTAAGACCTTCACCGAAAGTAAGACCTAGCGCTATCTTCAGGGATTTCTGTAATATAAGACCTACCCCGAAAATAAGACCTAGTTCGGTGGTAGCTCTTATAGTACAGAAATCCCTGAAGATAGCGCTAGGTCTTTTTTTCGGGGTAGCTACACATATAACTGAATTTTAAATGTAAAGACCGGCCGCAGCTCCCGCCCCGCCCACTCGCCAGCCTGCCGCAGCTCAAACCCCGCCCACAGATCGCCAACAGGCCTCCCCGTCCACGCGTCCGATGGAAGCGGCATTTCATCCGCCAACTTCGACACCGGGACCGGCGACAGCACGCCGCCTTCCGGGACCTCGTCCAGTCCTGTGAGTGCTCCTCCCCCAGCCCGGTAAGACATCCCCCGAAAATAAGACCTAGTGTCTTTTTTCGTGCAAAAAATAAATAAAATAAGACAGTGTCTTATTTTCAGGGAAACGCGGTATGAGAGTCTCCATCTTGGAGCACATGCAGCAAAAGATAAAATTGGGTGCAGGTTCGCTCCTTATGTAGGATACACGTTAGATACACATGACCCTCATCCCACTGCAGGAAATAACTGCAACCAAATGGAATTATTTTCAATGTTCAGAAATATAAAGATGCTGAAATGAGACGCAAAGAGATCATACACAGAGCAAATCCTTTACAGTATCAGTTATTATTTCTTGCAGTGGGATGAGGGTCATGTGTATCTAACGCGTATCCTACATAAGGAGGAAGTTCTCGAATAGATATGTGAAAAGAATTTGTATATATATTGATTGTATTTGTATTGATTTGAACCTAAAAGAAAGTTTTTTTTAATATGTTTTCAGTTTTAGAGGGTTTTTTTTCTGCCTTTTGTTTTATTATGTGATGGTAAAACTCTTCCTCCTTGTCTTCTGTCCTCGCTTCCATGAAGGCAGGGAGTAGTCAGGTAAGATTTCACTCTTTGAATTCAGTCCTCTCGTGTTTGTCACATAAATGGCAGCGCTTTGACAAGAAAAGGGATGAAAAATAACCCCTTCCCGGAGTTCTGTTAAAGCTGATATTTAATCTGCTCCTATTTTACCTTCCCTGGTTCCTCCCCTCCCCCCTCATCAGTCATAAATAAATCCTTTCTCATTAGATACCTTATTTTGGTGTCATTGATGTCATCACTGGGTCTCTGTGCAATGGAGGCAGACCATGGCGGGTGGGAGGGGCCAACAGGGTGCTGTGATGATGTCAGGAAGCTATGTACAGCACCCTGTTAACCCCTCCCACCCGCCATGGTCTGCCTCCATTGCACAGAGACCCAGTGATGACATCAATGACACTGTCTCTATACCTGATAAATGCAGTGGGCTGGCTCATGGGAGGAGTTATGGAAATATCAACATGCCTTGATGGGCGGGTGTCAGTTAGGAGTGGGCGTTCCTAGGCAGGCTACATTTACATGCAGAGCACCCTATGTAACACACGCATGTGACGCTGAGCCTCCATGACTGAAAGAAACAGGCCAAGGACAGTCAGGATGCGGAGGAAAGGGCTAGATGGATGTCCTTCAGCCAGGAAAGGAGGCGGAGCTCTATCTGTCTTGCTGCAGCTTCTAATGCACATTGTGAGAAGCTCCCAGTGTGCAGTGACATCAGAGGGAGGGTGGAGGAGCCGGTACAACTGTTCAAGGAGGACGGAGGTCAGATAGAAGACTGAAGGGGAGGACGGAGGTCAGATAGAAGACTGAAGGAGAGGATGGAGGTCAGATAGAAGACTGAAGGGGAGGACGGAGGTCAGATAGAAGACTGAAGGGAAGGACGGAGGTCAGATAGAAGACTGAAGGGGAGGACGGAGGTCAGATAGAAGACTGAAGGAGAGGATGGAGGTCAGATAGAAGACTGAAGGGAAGGACGGAGGTCAGATAGAAGACTGAAGGGGAGGACCAACGTCAGATAGAAGACTGAAGGGGAGGACAGAGGTCAGATAGAAGACTGAAGGGAAGGATGGAGGTCAGATAGAAGACTGAAGGGAAGGATGGAGGTCAGATAGAAGACTGAAGGGAAGGATGGAGGTCAGATAGAAGACTGAAGGGAAGGATGGAGGTCAGATAGAAGACTGAAGGGAAGGATGGAGGTCAGATAGAAGACTGAAGGGAAGGATGGAGGTCAGATAGAAGACTGAAGGGAAGGATGGAGGTCAGATAGAAGACTGAAGGGAAGGATGGAGGTCAGATAGAAGACTGAAGGGAAGGATGGAGGTCAGATAGAAGACTGAAGGGAAGGATGGAGGTCAGATAGAAGACTGAAGGGAAGGATGGAGGTCAGATAGAAGACTGAAGGGAAGGATGGAGGTCAGATAGAAGACTGAAGGGAAGGATGGAGGTCAGATAGAAGACTGAAGGGGAGGACGGAGGTCAGATAGAAGACTGAAGGGAGGCCGAAGTTCAGCTGTAATTATAAAAGATAATGAGAATGTTTGCAGACTGTAGAACCCAACACGAGGTTCCGGTTGAGTCACAGGGTGTTTTTGTTGTACAGGAAGATTCACTTTGGTCTGGTAACACTCTTGCGGCGCTGGTGCCCTGGGTTCAGATCACATTGGTGTCTGTGTGGGGGCTAATAGCCTCCCTTTGGAGCAGATTGGAGTGCGTTGGTTGGGGGTAGAGACGGTAGACTGTAAACAATTGACTGGAGATTCAACAAATGTGAAAACATGACGGTCCGTAAATATTCGGAGACGTCTCCATTGAGCGCTCATTTCCCTCCGACAGACGAGCGGACGTTCAGTTTATGGAGATTTCTTGCAGGGAGCGTCACGGGGCTAATTAGCATTCTATAATTAGGAGAAGCCCACAGGGAGGTGCAAGGAGAGACGATTGCGCGCAGAAGCGCGGCGTACACACTGGAGACCA